AAAAATACATTATAAAGATTTTATATAACTATAAGGGAAAAGTGCATATCAATCATGATTTTTAAAAATAATTGGAGTTTTAATATTAAATTATGTTATTTTATTTAATTAAAATTTAATTTAAAATTTTAAAAATTATCTTATTGATATTTAGATTTAGATTCTGATTATATTATAAAATATAATGAATTTTCAAATCTAGATATTAACATTTAATAGGATGAGATTTCAGTTTTCAAATGTAGATTGGAACTCCAATTAATTTTAAAAATTAAGCATTAACTTTTAAGTATAATATATAAGAATTGTGTATAATTAGATTTTTATATATATATAGACACACATTGTTGCCTCACATGCGTTTTAAACAGAATATATATATTAGAAAGCAAGACTGCGGGAGGGGAGGGGAATTAACATGGGAGGAAATGACAATTGTCTACCTCTTTTCGAAACGAGGCCAACCAAGGGTCGTATACTTTTTCAATTGTATGTGGCTACAATCTTTGTAGGCATCAGCTTCATCTGTGTTTACAGGGTGAGATGGTTTCCAGAGCGAGGAAGCTGGACAGAGAGGTGGACTTGGGTTGGATTGTCTGTTGCAGAACTATGGTTTACTTTGTATTGGCTTTTAACCGTTGTGGTTAGGTGGAACCCTGTCCGTCGCTTCACCTTCAAAGACAGGCTTTCTTGCAGGTTCTTGATTTCAACTGAGGTTTTTCAATTTTTTTTTTAATGTATATACAAAAATAATAGACCATATAATAAAAAAGAATAGTTTTTCTTCTTTTTTAAGTTTTTTCTCGCTTAATTCAAAATTTAAAATTGAGATCTTCAAAATTTTTAGCGATTAAACTATCTTTAAGAACAATTTAATTAATTGTTATTGTAATTAATTCACTTAATTCATGAATATATATATATATATGTGCAGATTAATTATTTGATGTAAAATTAACAATTCATTAACATAGACAAGTGCTGCAGGTACGATGATAAAGCATTGCCAGGCGTGGATATCTTTGTATGCACAGCAGATCCAGTGATGGAACCGCCAACAATGGTGATCAACACAGTGCTATCGATGATGGCATATGATTACCCACCTGAGAAACTAAGTGTGTATCTGTCAGATGATGGTGGATCGGATTTAATATTTTATGCCCTGTTAGAGGCAGCGCACTTCTCCAAAGAATGGCTGCCATTTTGTAGGAAGTTCAAAGTGGAGCCAAGATCGCCGGAGGCATACTTTCGGACTGCCGCCACCAATCCACCATCTCATGATTCTTTCATGACCAAGGACTGGTTGATGATCAAGGTACGTAGGT